TTGCCAGTTTTATTGTTGATAAAATTGGTGGTGAAATGTTGAAATGTTTTATCTTATGCAAGATAATTTTCCCTACTTGTTTTGTTAGTGGCATACATTTTATCCATTTTATTTAAACAGAACTTAAATCACGATGGCACCAATCTGCTTTCTGACCTTTGCTTTTAAGGCACTGGCAGACATCCCTGAAAAGGTGAATGTTATACCACCTACAGCTGTATCCAGATGAGTGATCACATGCCTGTTGTAGTGTCTTAAAGTAGTTTGAGATGCTGCAAGAGGCATGCTGGGAACGAAAAAATGTTCTCTGTGCTGCAGATTTGCAGCGCAGACTCTAATTTTGATACCAGGAAAGCCCGGTATAAAAAGAAAAAAGAAAAACCTGGAAAAAAGTGGCACAGGGCACTCTCCTGGAGTGTGCTGTGAAGCAACCAGAGGCTGGGTCCTCCAAAGAGATGCTCTAGAGCATCTCTATAGCTGCCATGTGTCCCTGCTGCTCCAGCATGCTGACTCAGACTGGTGGCTGCACATTGGCCCTGGCCCATACACTGTCAGGCAGAACCAGGCCAGCTCCTGCTGTCACCTGTTTTCCTGGCACTGCAAACAGAAGCCATGCACCCTCAGGCTGGGTCAGATCCTGCCTGCATGGAGCCGGCCTGGCCTGATAGTGCACGGGGCACATGGAGGCAGGACCCAGCCTGGCCCAGCAAGCCACAGCCAGGCAGCAGCCCCTACTGCCAGACTGCTGCAGTGGGTAGAGGGTGCAAGGGCTACTCTAGGTCAGGGTTGCTAGCAGTCCAGCTGGCACAAGGGGCTAGTGTCCCCAGATACCAACTGGATAGGTCTCGGAAGCTCCTGAGAGCAAGTATCCCTATGCTGCTCCTGAGGGCAGGTTTTTATACAGCTGGGGCCCACTCAGGTGCTGACCCCAGCATCTAGCCCCCCTTAGCTTTAGATCTGGGAGGAGTCTGGCCGTGTCAGTTTGCCCCAAGTGGCACAATTGCCCCACACCAAAGTGCATATTCAGGCACGTGTGCTGAGGCACAAATCTCTGGGACAAATCTGTGCCGTGGCTATTTGAGCTTCTGCAAGCGCACATGCTGGCATGTATGGACACACCCTCCCTGACCAAAGCTCATTTATTGCCAATTATCATTTGGGGGTTTTCTAAGTGTAATTGCCTGAATGTTACCCGCCACTGGCTTCCATCAGAAAAACGTCTTGCTGGTCCAAGAGCAGCTGGTATCTTCCTCCGGTGCATTAAGAAGCCAGTGTTCAATTATGCGCCCTGCCTGGCTTGACAGAAGCTAATTTTGCAAAGAATGAAAATAACTCAGCTGCAAGTTTTATTGTTACTGCACAAAAGTCACAGCATCGAGTCTTGATGATGATTTCCAGCTAAATTGTGTCTTTGTGGTACCAGTGGAATTACTTGAGCGGTTTCATTTTTCCTAATGGCACTTTTGAAATGTCTTGGAATCTCTTACTCCATGTGTTTGTGGCATTCAGGCTGTTATTTCTGTTTCTTCCAGTGTCATGCATAGGGCAGTCAGGGGAAAAAAAAATTACTGGAGAGGTAAAAAACACTAGTAAAATGAGGGAAAATTGAGAAAAGTGGTAAATACATTGTTTTGGGGACAGGGCTGGGAAGAACAGTCGCAGGAAGGGGTCGGGATGGCTTGATGGAGTCAAACATAGTCAGGAGTTAGGAGCTTCTAGCCAGTTTGGAGTTAAATGTTTCTAGAGAGCCTGGGAAGGAAAGGACAGAGAATATTCTTTATTAGGGTTGTAGGAGGCCTTGGGAAGTGCAGGGATTAATTTATTGGTATGAGTGATATATATTCCTTTTTTTTACAAGAGATAGCAACATCCATTCAGGCTATCATCTTCTTAACAAGCAAATGGCTCTCTCAGTCACATAGGGCAGAATTAACCCACTGCACAGGTAGAATTGAGGACAAGGATCAAATGCAGTTTAGCCTTTTAGGCACCTTCAATTTAGGTGTCAGCAAACAAAATGTGGCTGTCTGACCCCAGGAGGATGATTCAAAAAACCAGGATGAGTGATCTAAACTCTTTCTCCAGTCAGTGGGACTCAGGTGCCACAGAGGGAAGATTTAAAAAGGCAAGGTGCTGAGTAGGGAGTTACTTTTAGGTAGCCAATAAAAAATACAAAGTCAAGAGCTTATCTGAACTCCAACCCTTTTCTGCAGGTTCAGGTCTGGACTTAAGGCTGCATACCACATAGCTCTGTCTACTCAGGATCTGAAATGCCAGTTCCTCATCCGAAGATAGGCACCTAGCCGGTCAGGACTCACACCTGGTGAGGTGCCAGAAGAGAGGTGCTGGTGCTCATGCTCACCTTCTGCATACAAATGCAGTGGTTAAAGCAGTCATCAGGCCCTTCTAGGCCCTCCTCAACCTGAGGGAGACACGCTTTGCCTTTCCTTTGGAAATGGAAAACCCTAGGAGACAGGTAGGGTGTGGCAATCAGAATAAAATTCAGTTAAAGTCTGTGACTGAGATACGAACTGACCCCCCCGACCCCTCGCCCCAAGTCCCAATCAGGATCCTGCACCAGCTTTCTTTCCCACTCCTTTTTTCTATACTTAATCATTGCTTTTCTCGTTAAATTCCCACCCCCAGTACATGGATTCCTATTCAACCTTAATTCCCTTTCCCATGGATCATCATCTCGCTATCCATCTTCCCAGTTTTGGAGTTGTATTTGGATCCCAGCTGACTTTGTGGTAGACATTAGCACCTGTCCTTTGAATTAATCTGAGTTGGGAAGTCTGAAATGAATCTGTTTTTACCTGTTTGCAGACCAGTGTGAAATACTATGCAACATGCCCAGCACTTGACTAAGATTTAACGCAGGGGTGGGCCAGACGCCGCCTGCCAGGCCATTTTATCCAGCTTGCAGGGCCCCTAAAAAATTTAGAAAATTAATATTTATCTGCCCCTGACTGCCTGTCATGTGGCCCTTGATGCCTTGCCAAAATTTAGTAAGTGGCCCTCTGCCCAAAATAATTGCCTGCCCCTGATTTATTCCATGGCTCAGAAATGTCTTGGCAGAGAGATGGAAGGGAGAAGATGGTCACCCAACTAATGGGACTGTTAATGTGGTCCAGGGTTGGTACCAAAATATTGGAAGCAGTGAAGTTTTCCACTTCAAACCTCATGCCTTTCCCCTCAAACTTCAAGCACTCCTCTTTCAATCCCCTTTTTCTCTAAGTAATTGCTTATTTTCCACTACCGGTAACTGCAACTTGTGCTAATGGCTGAGGATCGCATGCCTCTCCCTTTCCCTCTGTGACTCAGTATTATTAATAACTAGGATATTTTTGGCTTTCACTCATCAGGCATGTACCAAATAAGCTGGCTGCCTTTCAGCCTTGCCAATCAATTCTTTAGTTATGCTTATTAGGGCAGGATGCCTGGTCTTTTTTGTTGTTTCTTTGTGGTCACTCTGTTGCTATAGAATTCTGAATCTAAAGCTTTTATATAAAAACAAATAATAATAATCTTTTTTTTGTGGGATGTGGGAGAGAGGGACTTTCATTTTATAAACAATTCTTTGGAGATATCAGTGGGATTTCTATGGCTGAAGCACCAAGAGCAATAAATGTGCTCCATATGGTGTCCGCCTTTTGACAGTGTGCTAGATGGATGGGTGAGCCTTGGGACCATGGTGGCAATTTTCAGTGCGTTTTACAGTGGATTTCTTTTTATTCCAGGTTTTAAAGTCAGTACAGCATGAAAAAAGGACACAGGTATGCATCTGAAGACAGACAGAAAAAGCAGGAGAGGGGAAAAACAGACAATAAATCCAGCTAAAATGTGTAATTTCATCTCTGATAACTTTGAGTTATGTTCAGTGTGTGTGTGTGTGTGTGTGTGTGTGTGTGTGTGGCATTATATGCAAGGGAGTTTTGCAGCTAAATCCTGTTCTGTACTTTGAAACAATTTCTGATTCAATAGCTACATGAAGTTGTTTTTAAATCCCAGGGTCCACCTATTAGTACAGTTAGAAAATTGAGTTTGTAGAGCTTAAGCCATCTCTTTGTACAAGTTCATAATTAGGGAGATTCAGCTAAATACTGTTGTTATTATTATTACAACTCCATAGGAGTTCTAGCAACATTTAAAAGAACCATACATAGCAAACATAGGCATAAACCACTTTCAAAATTAGGGACTAATCATTAATTAGGTTGCAAGCTATTTAGAGTACAGGTTTTGGCCCAAACCCAGCTCCCCTTTAGGCAGGAAAGTACCACTAATACAGCTAAAATTAACAAGGTAAGTGGCATTCCAGGCCTTTTACATAGCTTTTTGAATGATCCTGCTGGCCCTGCACAACTCACCTGGGATGGACTGGAAACCCTAGGTATGGGATGTCTCCAGTGGGCTCCTACTACTCTCTCTCTCTCTCTCTCTAAATCCAGTAGACAGAAGCACCATAAGAGGGGCCAGAACCCAGTGTAGCCCCCCTTCCAGGGCAGTGACCACGTTATTGAGCCCAAACCATGGCTCTCCTTCCAGTCTTACATGCCTTTGTCTCTTGTACAGTGGGCTAGCTTTACAAAGAGAGCTGCAGGGTGCTTTGGGCCAGGGCTATCCAAATAACAGCCTGCAAGGGGTTAACCTGCCGCCCTCAGGATCCCACCCAGGCATCACTCCCTGCAGGGAGGCTGCTGCCAATGGAGTCCCTGAGCTCCTGTCCCTCCTCCAGCATCAGGTTCTTGCTTCTCCCTCTGGGATTCCCATGCAGTGGGAGTGTAGCAGGCTGGCAGGCAAAGGCTTGAAGCAGACTGCACGTTCCAGGTTGGAAAAATCTGCAGGCTTGCAAGGAACAACAGACAACTGCAAGCAATTAAGAGTGATTGCAGGCAGCCTAGGAGGACTGGACCAGCTGCAGAGGATGATTATCTGGCCACAGAAAGCTAAAGGCTTCTAGGGAGACAAGCAGGGAGCTTGGCAAGTGGTGGCAGAACTGAGCCAAGGATTCTCCTAGGCTGTAAGGCTAGAGGTAGCAGCATCATGAGAGGGAACTCACACAGAGAGAAAGAAGACTGCACTGAAATGCTGTGGGAGTATCACGTAGCTGGCAGCACCTTTATCGGGGTCTGGGAAGAGACCTCTGAACTGTGAGTTGCCCTGTAGGGACTATGTTTTGAGGACTGGTTTATGTTGATTCCAGTGTGGAATTAAGTTGAGTTAAGCAAATCCCCTGAACCTGCTACAGGGATGCACCCCTGTGAAATGGCTTGGCAGGAAGCACCAACAGTGTAGTGGGGGACCCACACTGTGTATGATGGGAGGTACCTACGCCCTGTGCAGGTGCATCTTGGGAGGTGTGTTGCATTTGGTTGCTCTGAAGCTGGAATGCATGGCTTTGGACAATGTTTAGATTATGCCCTGGCATTGACTAGTAAGAGGGAGGTATAGATTCAGACCTTTTCTTGGTGAGGCCAGGCCACCTTCTCTATGGATAAAAGATCTAAAACATATTTTTTGAGCTAAATGTTGCCTAGTTCCTACTTGTCCCCATCTTGGCGCCTTATGTGGAGTGATTCATCTTTCTTGGGAGCAGGATCTGAAACCCATGCAAGTGCCCCAAATGCCATTTATGTAGCTAAAATCAGGTATATGAGTGCTACTTGGCTATCTAAAGATGGAGTTGGATTCTGGTCTTTGTTTTGCTGCATATTTGTATAGTGACTAGTCCAGCAGAGTCCTAAACATTGCTGGGGTCTTGGGGGAATAATTGTAATGCAAACACATCGTGAAGACAGTGGGGGGAATTGAATCTATCCCTAACACCTATTAAAATCAAAAGGTTGGGACTAGTGATTGTTTTAACTCGATTTATACCAGGAATAAGGTTGGCCCAAGGATTACACCTGTGACTCGCAGAGCTTATAGCTGGGAAAAGACCCATATGGTCACTTAGTCCATCCACAACTCATTTCAGCTGTAAAAAAATACATTTACTTCATCACACTTCTTCAGTGGTCTCTACTGTCCAATTTTAAAATATGCAAGTGATGTGGCTTTAATACCTTAACATTTTATGGTCAGACCTTTATTCTTAAAATATATATAAATTAACCTCAGTGAATTCAGGACTGGATGTTCAGGCTTGCCTTTCCAAGCTCCACCTTTCCACTCCTTAGTTTCTCTTAAGTCATCTGCAGTGCTCAGTTTAACCTCACCAGAACCAGCACCCGATGATAAGAATTGTGCCTCCAGAGAGGCCTGCATCAGTGAGATCAAATGGCAGGATGAGATGAAGAAAAGAACAGGGGTGATTGAATTACTTTCCCTTTGGTGCTCTCCCACCTCTCTCTTTTCTGCCTCCTTTAATGGAGGGCATTAGAGGATAAAATTGAGGGGGATGTGTCCACTCTCCTTCCTACCAAGAATTTATTTTTCTAATTCCATTAAAGGATGAACAGAAGCAAAGAAGGGCTTCTTACTCTGGTTGCTGTTTTGCTCCATGAAGTATTGGTATGTAGGGTGCATGCCCAATGAACTAGACAGACAATTTTAGATATTGTGTGATCAAATAAGATGAAGAAGAAAGGAAACGGGTGTAAATGAGCCTGTTGAATAAGACCTAGTGGGCCATTAGCTTTAAGAGGAACTTTGACTTGACTTGACCCAGATGAATGTGTGACATGAATGCTGCATGCCCCCAGAGGCTGATGGGGCATGGCAACTGCCCTCAGGCAGCAGTGGAGGTGTCAGTGGTGGGGATGTGGTGGCAATAAGTGGGAAGCTCTGCAGGCAGAGCGGGGGCTGGCCAAGCAAGGAGCTCCTGCAGGCAGCTGTGGCGGTGCCAGCGGGGGGTGGCGAACACTGACCATTGGTTGGCGACCACCCACAGATCCTGCTGGTAGCATCAGCGGTGGCCAGCGGCGATGTGGGGTGGGGGTAGGGTGGTGAGTGGCAACCACCCACAGGCACTGCCAGCAGCGTCAGCGGTGCTCTTTGAGGGGCATGCACTGCCAATCTTAGGGGGTGCACCTGCACCCCCTTCACATCGCCAATGACTTGTGATATACTCAACCTGCAGCTGTGTTTTGTAGCTTCCACCCTCTGTTTCCATGCACATCCACGTGCTGATTCCAATTACTGTTAGTCTTATAAATTACTTGGTAAGACTTGTTCCATTACTTCAAGAGGAAGGTGGCACTTACTGTGTGAAACTTGCCCTGTACTTTATGAGCACATGAAGGAGAGAAAAGGATTTTTAGCTATCTTGATTGGAACAACTGTGTAGTTGGGAGAGCTGTTGAATAAGCTTTCAGGCATTAAGTGGCTTTCTTTGGGTCCTGAGGAAGGTTACTTGATGCCTGAAAACTCCAACAGCTTTCCCAACTACCTAGTTGGTCAGTAAAAGATATCAGTAAAAAATCTTTACCTTTCATTCATTACCTGGACCATCATGGTGATAGCAAAACTCCAACCCTACAACATCAGAACCTTGTAAAGTAAGCTTTGAATTTTCAGTTTGGCAGATTTCCAAATGTATGCTGATGCTTCAAAAAATGTAGGGATTGTGGAATAAGATTGCTTGAAAAAGTGAATAGCTTTTGAGTATACCTCCTTTTAGTCTTCTGGATTTATGACCTCTATTACCATCTCTTCTGCCCAAAAGTAGTCAAGAGCTCATACCCTATGCTTTTATATTTCATGCTATAAAAATCAATGTCAGAAGTGAGGTAGGTACAAAGGGGTCTCTGAAAAGTGAGAACTTGCTAAAGGTTACAGATGTTCTGCCAACACCTATTCATTTTATTGCAGCCATACATGATCAGGTCCACAGAGGCTCAATCTTAATGTTATTAATAGTTCCAGCTAGTGAAGTTGCCAAGCATATTGTGCATCTGTCTGGCAGGGTATTAATGGCACATTTAATGTTGTAAGGTCATGAGGAATTTTCCATGAACAAAGTTCACCAAAAGGACAGTGTAGGTTCAAAAACTTGTATTTACACTTAACTGTGTAAAAATGTCAGAAGCCATATATGGTAGCACTATGTGTAAGGCTTCTTGTGTAACCAGGTTAGCTCCATTTAACTTACAAGCAGGGCCAGCTGACCCCAAGAACTTCATCGTCCCAAAGGGCTATTGCCTCTGCTGCAGTGTGGCAAGAGCTCCCTAGGAGCAGCCCCTACTGCCTTGTTCACTCCTGCATCAAACAGTACTGGAGGAGTAGCTGCACCTTCCATGACAAAAAAATCCTGTCTGGGGAAGGGGGGATGCCATTCTTCTCAACACTTCCCCCATTGACTATTGGGTGTGGATCTACCTAGCTTCTCTCTCACTAGGATGCGTCTGCTCTATGAAAGGCTAGGTATAGACCTTGCACATAATCCAGACTAAGTGCTTGGAAATTAAGCAAAACTTGTAACCATACCAAAGTTCAGGATATAGAGACCAAACTAAAAATGGTGGAACCCAGTGTAAGAGTCCTGGATTGATGTGGTATTAGATTATGTAAATTATGTCAGTCTGGTGCACTGAACTTCTCTACCAGATCCCCTATCAAATCAAGTTAGGATTCTGTCTGCCAGCATCCCAGATATGGTTGTGGTCTCCTGCTAGCCTGCCCTCATAGGGAGGCAGGCTGGAAGTCAACCCACACTCAGCTACTCTAGCTGAGCACCTAGTGTGCCCTTCCCTTGGGTTGTCATAGACCTGAGCCAGCACAGAATCTGTCCCCATCCCCACCTCTGGCCAGTTCATCCACAACCAGGTGTTGGGGGCGGTGAGCCGG